ATTTTTCACTTTCAGTGAAAATTTCAGTGAATCGCTCTTCGACGTTCATGTTACCCTAATGCTTTTTCAAAAATTTCGAATTTTTCACTTTCAGTAAAAATTTCAGTGAATAGCTCCTCGATGTTCATATTACCCTGATACTTTTTCAAAAATTTCGAATTTTTCAGTTTCTATACTTACACTTTTTTACTCGATACTTTACTACTCGATCTTTTTTTTACCATTTGTCGACATACCAAGGGCATCATATTACTAGCTGTTGGCATTTCAGGGACCCGCATTACCGACTCTGGTATTTGAAACGTAAATTCTAAAATTTTCGCTGAAATTGAAAAATTCGAAATTTTTGAAAAAGTATTAGGGGAACATGAAAATCGAGGAGCTATTCAATTTTTAAACAATATTTCGATTGATTAGCCATTTACAAAAGAACAATTTGGAATTATTGTGAAAAAAAAAATGAATGATGCCGGGATCGAACCCGGGCCATCGGCGTGCCAGTCAAGCACGTTACCGATAAGATAAAGCGCCGAATTAAAAATATATTTTTATTAGGAGTATATATTTTGAAAAAGTTTCATTTTCAAAAATGTCGAATTTTTCAATTTCACTGGATATCTCCTCGATTTTTAAATATTCCGTTTTTAAACGATATTTCCAATGATTAGCCATTTATAAAAAAAAAAATTGGACTTATTTTGAAAAAAAAAAATGAATGATGCTGATATCGAACCCAAGCGGTCCACGTACCAGTCAGGCGCGTTGCCCACTGGACAACGCGCTCATGATGAAATTATAATTTCATTAGTAGTATATATTCAATACATTGAATAATTTTTTTTATTTGAAATTCTACAAAATGTGGTTTCCCCCTTCCGCTCGTTCTACAGTCGACTAAATTTCAGTTACAAATAGAAAATACATACAATATAAATACAATAACAACAAATAAAAAACAAAAAGCATTCCTGCCGCAGAAAATAAAATTCACCCCGTCGACTTGATGGACACCCCAACATTGCGTGTGGCGCCGTCCCTCTCTTGGGGTGCAGTACTACGATGCCGATGGGGTCACTCAAACCCCCAGAACTGAGCCTCTGCTTTAGTCAATCCTCTTTGATGTTTACGAAGGGCAAACGAATCTGTCAATCGAATTGGAATTATCCATTGAAAAATGAATCAAGCAAATCCGAGTATCTACGACCTGGCTTACGAGGGTAAGACCACAGCTGTAATGAAGCTAATGACCGAGAACGAGACGTTGAAGACACAAACTGACAGTGTGAGTACTGAGGGAAATCGTACAGTTTGAAATTCCTAACCTTTTTTGGCCGATGCAGAATGGCCGAATGCTCCTGCATTGGGCTGCACTTGGAGGACATCATGATCTGGTGCAATTCCTCCTCTCTCTGGGGGCTCCTGTTGATCCTGGAGACGATGTGAGTAATTTTATTCCCTTCAATCACACTCTACACTTAGTCCAGTATGACTTGCGCATTCGCCGCTGTCTTGGATCTCATTCAAAACGCGCGGAATTCGACGGATTGAAAGAGTGCGCAGGTATTTAAAAAAAAAATCTTCATTATTTTGGAACTTTATTTTTACTTCAATCTGTTATTCGTCTCGATTAAAAATATTTATTGATTTTTGTGGGGAATTCAATTGTTGTTAAATTGTTAATTATTTAGTGAAATGGTGAGATCTTAGTGGAATAAAGTGAATATATAGAACAATTGGAATAATGAAAAATATAATAATAAGAATGAATTTGAGTTATAAATAAAATGAAAGGAAAATAAAATGAAAGGAAAATTTTAAAGAATGGGTTGATGGATTGAGTAAAAATATTTAAAATGTCACGTCACCCTGTCGATGGGGGAATATGATTGTTTGATTTGCAGACAAATATGACGCCGTTGATTCTAGCAGCATCAGCGGGTCGTGAGAAAGTCGTGGTGATTTTAATAACCGAAGGGGCCAATGTTAATGCCCAAACAATTGACGGGCATTCGGCACTGCAATACGCTGCCAGTAAAAATTGGCATTCAATCTGTCTGAAACTTATCGAGAAGGGAGCGGATGTCAATATCATTGACAACCGAGGGGCCACCCCACTCCACCGAGCTGCTTCCAAGGGAAATATCGAAATTGTCAAGATGCTTTTGGCTCAGGGAAGCCGATTAAAAATCGGTAATTAGAAAAATTAACAAATTCCCAACAAAAAAAAACCGGGGGAAAGCGTTCGAGACAAATATCTAAAAATCAGAAAAAAATACGAAAATTTTCTCAGAATCTAATAAAATTTAATAAAGCTTTTATTTCAGTAAAAATTATTAGAAGATCGTTTTTGTTTGAAATTTAATCAGCTAGAAAAAAGTACTCTGCCGTTTTCTTCTTGAATCGACAGTGCTCAAGATAGATCGATAATTAACAATATGTCGAATTGGACTGATCACAAATAAATAATCATTGGACTCATAAAAATGATCTGCGATTTTCATCCAGACAAAACTGATGCTTATGGCAACTCCGCTCTCCATTTGGCATGCGAGGAAGACAGGAACGCAGAGGCAAAACTCTTAGTCTCCCACGGCGCTAATTTAGAGCTGACAAATAGAGAAAAAAAGATTCCCCTGGACCTGTGCACTCCGACTCTAGCGCGACAGCTGAAAGCACTCAAGGAAAAGCCGGAATAATCCCCCCCCTCCATTATTTTCAATTTTCTAAATGAGGGGGAGAAAAAAATTAAAAAAAAAAGAAAAACATTGTGGCACAGTGGAAAAATCCTCAAGCTCAATAATTAAATTCTAATTGATTACAAGTTTCGTTAATATTCAATACCCAATAAATAAAGTTCTCATCTTTTCTAAATTCCATGTTTATTATATCCTTATGTATTTAGATGCAACTGTTATTACCATTTTCTATATAAAAATGTATCAAAATTCATTTCATGAATACAACCTACGATTTTTCATCTTATTTTAATTATTCGATGGCCACTTACTGTCGTTTCACGTGGAATTCATCCCTCAAAACATCACAGATGGAATTATTTTCCCTCGTTACCCCACGAATAATCACCAAGTGACCAATGAATCACTTATATACACAATTCACATTCTTCTTCACTCCATTTCTCAAAAGCCGTTTCATGATCGCTTCCACTCAAAAATATACGAATTCAAGTCTGCCAAATGTCTCTGAATACAAAGTTACTCATTATTTTTTCCTACTTCGATAAATTTGTAAAAATCGTGAGTAAAAAAATCATGGTTTCGTTTCTAGTTTCGTTTCTTCCTTGATTTCAGTTCAGTTGATTAATTTCTGTTTATTGTTCGTTTTCATAGAAATAAATGCGAAAATCAGACCAATTTAACATCCCTAACACGACAGGAAGAAATTGCAAACAAATCATCAAGATTTAAATATGTGCCAAAACTAAATGGATATTCAACATCCAATATCTCAATATCAACCGTGTGAAATTCACCGTCTCTCTTCTCATTTTCAAGATACCATTCCACACTTTGAAAATAAGGAAAAGACTTATCTAAATCGCGTCACTCAATCCCAAGATATTGATAATTGAATCCCATCGATTCTGCATCTCCCACGAAATTCAATTCCCCACGTCATGAAATCCTTCTCATTTCACCTCAACAGTTCGCAGATGACGAAAAATCGAGAGGCATGATTTAAGTACACCCCAAGACTCCCAAAAAAAAAAAAATCATAAAAAAACCCTTAACTTCATTCTTGTTTTATTCTCAAAAGAAAAAAATGCAAATGTATAAAGATTGAAAAGGGAAAATCCCTCTATTTTCATTAAATATATATTATACATATAATAATGCCGAAAAATCTGTGTAAATGCATGTGCGGGTACATTCGTATAAAAGATGGTAAAAAAAGAATGAGAGAATGGGAGCCTTCACCCCGCAGAAAGGAGAAATACTGGAAGCAAAGGTAAATGCCAAATCGTGAAATCTTTCAAAATTTCAAATTTTCATAACACAAAATTGCTCCACCTATTCTCCCTTCGAAATCATGATTAAAAAAAAAAAAGAACAATTGATTTTTCATAATTTTATTATTTGTCTCTATCTTACCACGTTAATCATTAAAAAACTGAAATAACTAACGGTTTCGTTCGAATATTATTCGGGATGATGCTGTCTCGTAATAATAGTAATAAAATAATGTAATAGTAATAAACATTAATGTCTTATCCCTACCTACTGCTTGTTAATGCATCCCCTCCTCAATAATGATTTTCATTAATTTTCCTCGTCTCCATAGGATATTAATTATGCAGCGATTTGACCCCTCATGCATTTTCTCCTATCCCCTACCTCCAATTCGATTGTTCAATTGTTCTCGATAATAATTGAATCAACAATCGCCTTTAATCTGCATTAAAACCGCTCGGCGGTCAATGTTAGTTAAGCTTGTAAAGTTATGTACACATTTGCTCCATTTTCCTCATCTCCCCTCATTTTTCTTTTAAATACTAGTCCCCCTCGGATGGCATCTCATTTGGAAGTTTATCATGTTTCGTATATATAATTGCAATTTGAATTAAAAAAAAAAATAATAATAATAATAATAAAAATTATAATGTTGTAATTACGGAAATAATTGCTCTCTACGTATCTTCGTTTGCCTGTTCGAATACCAGTGACTGATCACCAAATTTATCCCCTGTTTAAATTTTTTTCTCTCATTTTCCATTCGCGTTTTTCACTGATGGTTAGACGTGCTATTATGCGATATTTAACCGTGTTATTGGATAAGATAGAGAGACGGAGAGAGAGGGTGGGGGGGAGAGAGAGAGAGAATTTAGTTGATACTCTCCTCGCCGTCGATGCTCTCGTCCTGAGTGGTTGAGTCGTCGCCAGAGCCTCCAGTCTGGACTGATCCACGTTTCGTCAGTCTCGTAGAGCTCAGGCCCATTGGAGCCCCTCCCCCACGTCTGAGTTTACTCTTAAGATTGGCCACCTCTCTGGTGAGATTTTCATGTGACTCGATCATCTCATCCATCTCCCTCTGCGCCTTCCTCTTTTGTACCTTGTGCCTGCTGAGCTCCTCCTCAGTCTCATCAAGTTGTCTCTTGAGTGTCTTCACCCTGGCATTGGCCTTCTCTACCTGCTCCTTATACTGATCAGCATTCCTCCTCTCGTCCTCCAGCTGTAGTCCAAGCTCCTTGAGTTTCTTATCGAGCTTCCTGTTGACCTTCTGTTGGGCGAATCTCTCCTTCGCCTCCGTCTCAAGCTGTTCATCGAGATTACTGATCTTGGATTCGAGTGCCTGAATGGTGGCCTTGGTCTTGGCCCTCTGGGCAGTCTCGAGTTCGGCAAGTTTAGCCTTTAGCTCCTTGTTCTGCCTTTCCAAGAGCAATCTCTGGGACTCGAGCTTCTGGGTGGCCGAGCGTTCAGTAGCCAAATCAGTAGTCAACTGCTCAATAGTGATTTGTCCCTTCCTCGATCTATCGACAAATATCTCGCTATTAGACTGCTCCTCCTCGAGCTCCTCCTCGAGCGTAGCGATTCTAGCCTCGAGCCTGCGTTTCTCATCGAGCATCAGAGTCCCTTTATTCGCATTATTATTGAGCTCCTCCTGGAGCTCATCCCTCTCATTTTCAGCAGCACGTCTAGCCCTCTCACTTCCAGCCAGATCCTCAGTGAGCTGGAGCAGATCAGCCTCCAAACTCTTCACCTTTTTCTCCGCCTCCTTGGCAATGGTAGCCAACTCATCCCTACCTGCACGTGCCTCCTCAGTTTCTCTTGTGCAATCCTTTATCTGTCCCTGAAGCTTCTTCAGCTGCTTCAATGCATCCTCCTTCACTTTGTTATGCATCTCCAACTGCTGCTCCACATCCTTGTAATCAGCCTCAAGCTTCTTTCGAGCAGCAATTGCAGCGGCCCTCTGCTTCCTCTCATCCTCGAGCTCTGCCTCAATGTCTCTCAACTGTTTCACCAGTCCTCGCCGCTTCTCCTCGGCCTGCTCCTCCTTAGCCTGCAAATCCCTCTCGAACTGCGCCCTCAACGCCTGCATATTCACCTCCAACCGGAGTTTAGCGTCCTCAGTAAACTGTAACTCATCCTCAAGCTCCTCGACCTGAGATCTTTGCTCGGCCAGTTGCGACTCGAGTGCTCTCTTCGCCTTCTCTAACTCGTGTACATTCTTATCCGCTGTTCCCTGATTATTAACGAGCTCATCGAGCTCTGCTTGAAGACCCCTTCGGCCTCTCTCCAGCTCTTCCACTTTCTCATTCAGCTCGTCAAGCTCACGAGTTAAAGACAGCACTCGTGTCTCCTTCTCCCTGGCCTCCCTCTCAGCAGCATCTCTCTGCTCTGCGTACTGCTCAGACACCGCCTTCTCCTCAGCAAGAACTTTATCGAAATTTTTCTGTTTCTTTTCGAGCTCGATGACTTTTCCTCGTTGAACCTCAAGCTCGATCGTACTGTCTTCGAGCTCAGCCTGAATCTTTCGTTTGGACTTGTCGAGTTTATCATTCGCTGCTTGAAGCTCCTCGACCTGACGCTGAAGAGCCTCAATATCCTTCATACACCTCTTTCTAGCCTCCTCGAGGGCAGCAGCAGCTTCACCCTCCTCGTCCCCTCGTTTCTTCGCTTCAGCAAGCTGAATCGTAAGAGCCTGCACCTGTTTATCCAATGCACGCTTAGCTTCCTCCTCCTCTTCAAGCTGATCATGAAGACTCTCCTTATCACTCTCGATGGCTCGTAATTTGGAAGATAGAGCGAGTTTTTGACGAGTCTCCTCTTCGAGCTGCTGTGTGAGCTCAGTGAACTGAGACTCGCAGACAGCTGAAGCTTTTACAGCAGCTGATGCCTTCAATTCAGCAGTCTCCAGCTGCTGAGAAACGATCTCAGCCTCTGCCTGGAGTTTGGCAACTCTCTCAGCGAGCTCCTGCTTATTCCTCTCAACCTCAGCCAATTTTCCATTGAGCTCGACGAGCTGCTGCTCGGCCTGCTTCCTTCTGCGATCGGACTCCTGTCGACTCGCCCCAACAGATCTCAACTCAGTCGCTAAATCGGCTGTTTCAGCCTCGAGGGTGCTCTTAGCTTTTTCCAAAGCCGCTTTTGATTTCTTCAGAGCGTCCATTTGTTCATTTATAACAGTTAACTCCTGTGTGTGCTTATGACGCATATCAGCAACAGTGGCTTCATGCAGGGAAGTCTCGTCCTCGAGATTTTTCTTGAGTGTCGCCAGCTCTTGTTCGCGTTTGCTCCGAAGCTCCTGTTGAGCAGCTGTTGTGTCGAGGGAGTCGAGAAGTTCGTTCTTCAGGGCCTCGAGCTCCTCATTCAAGTCACGTTTGAGTTTCTCAGCTTTGCTCCTAGCAACTTTCTCCGCCTCCAGGTCCTCCTGGAGCTCAGCCAACTGAGACTCCAGCTCTCTCAGGGCTTTCTGGGCTTGTGCCTTGGCAGCCGCTTCCTCATCGATTTTCAGCATCACTTGATTGAGCTCCTCCTCACGTTTACCCAATTGCAATTGTAACTCCTCAACCTGAGTCTTCCTCTCCGACAACTGATCCTTGAGATCTGACACCTCAGTCTCGACTTTCCTTTTCGATCTGTCCACCTCCTGTCGCTGTTGGTGATCCTTCAGCAGGCGTTCTTCAAGATCTGCAATGGTTGCCTCATGCTTCGCTTTGAGTTTCGCCAGATGTTTTGCTTTTTCCTCCTCCTCAGCGAGTGTCTGGGAAAGATCATTGGCCCTCTCCTCCAGAATCTTCTTCTCTTTCAGCAACTTCTGATTAGTATCCTCAGACAATGCCAAATCTTCCTCCAATTTCTTAATCTTTCCATCGCACTGGACCTTCTCTAGCTGTAGCTTCTGTCTCGCAGCCTCTTCTTCCTCCAACTGCTCCTCAAGATCACTGATGTTCAGCTGGAGTTTTTTCTTCTCTTGATTCAGTGCTGTACTCCGTTCCTCCTCCTCTTCGATTCTAGCCTCGAGATCGTGGAGTATCTCCTCGAGCTCCTGCTTCCTCGCAGCGAGCCTTGCCCTCATCTCCTCAGCCTCAGCGCAAAGCTCCACCTCGGCCTGCAACTGCTCAGCCAACATCGTCTTCTCCTCGATCGCCTGTTGATACTTCCTCTCATACTCCTGAGCCGAATGCAACTGCATCTCCAATTTGTCCCTCACCTGCTTCAACTCGTCCTCCTTCTGAGTCAATTTCTCCTCCTGCTTAGTCACCTCCAACAGAGGCTTCACCTTGGTGTAGAGCCTCCACCACTGCCAATTTCTGAGCTTTAAATAAGCAGCGCAATTTCTCTGAATAATTCGAATGGCATTCAACTGCTGGAGACGCTTCTGATAATTTCTCCTGGCAAGGAATCCCCTGCAGAATGCCTGGAAATTAACAATAAGATCAGTGATCTTGTAGTCACGTTCCTCCTCAAGATGCGCAAGAACACCAGCCCTGAAGAATATCTTAGATTGTCCCACTCTGTAGAGATTAGGATCGAGCTCGAGAGCCTGAATCATCTTCTCACAGGCCTTTTTACCATCCATGAAGCCCTTGGGAATGACATTGGGCGTGAGGAGCTCGTATCTCTGCCTGAACTCCTGGAAGGGAATCCTATTGGGGAAACCCTGTCGACAAATTCTAATCCCCTCCAATACACCATTGCATCTGAGCTGATCCAAAACCAGTGGTGCGTCGATCTTTCCAGCCCTCTTCTCATGATTCGGAATGATACAGCGAACAAAATTTGGATTTGTATTCCTCAGGGTGACCATGAGCTTCGCCAACTGCTCCTTGTAGAGTTGCGAGACAGTTCTAAACATTCCCTTTCTGGTTCTCGCTCCAAATTGAGTGTCAGTGAGTGCCTGCTGTGCCATCCCAACAATTTCCGCGTCCTTCCAGATGTGACAGACGAATGGATCGGTGGAGGCTTGAAGAAGACTCACCACGTGCTCATTCAGAGGATCCATATTCTTCATAAGCCACTTGGCAGCTGAATAGTCGACCTTTCCAGCGTAATGAATAATAGCAAAATCAGCGACACCCCTGAAATCAGTTTTCATGAACTTGGGGTGAACACTATGAGCCCCAACGAGTTTCTCAACGAATGTCTTGTCGGTTGCTTTGGGGAACCAGCACTCCTCGTCGAGAAGAGCCATTATTCCCATGGGTTTGTCGATCAGGTCAATAGTCGGCTGCAGATCCAATCCAAAGTCTATGAACTTCCACTCGATTCCTTCGCGCTGATACTCCTCCTGCTCCAGGATGAACATCGTGTGATTGAAGAGCTGCTGGAGCTTTTCATTCGTGTAATTGATGCAAAGTTGTTCGAAGGAGTTCAATTCAAAGATCTCAAAGCCCGCCATATCGAGGATCCCGATGAAGCTTGCACCCTGTCTTTTGGTGCGATCCAGTGACCTATTGATACGATTCACCAGCCAACGAAACATGCGCTCGTAACACGCTTTGGAGATGGCCTCAACGGCGAATTCCACTTGCTCCTTCGTCTGGGCTTTTGTCACAAAGTCACGACCAACTTTGATCCGGGGTTTCAGAAAGGCTTTGGTCATGTCGGTGACGTTGAGCCCCAGGAGGTGAGATATCTTTTGGGCAACTGTGTTATCTGGTAGAGTTGCTTGATCGGAGTTTCGCTCCTGGCGGAACTGCATGGAACCGAAAAGCATCACTGCTGAGACAATGCGGAATATCGAGGAGAAATCCTCGTGGGTCATTCCCATGATGTTCATGGACTTGACCGTCGAGGCGAATTCCGCTGAATCGTCAACACCTGGTACTGGTAGTGCACCGTTCGAGAGGAACGGATAGAGCTTAGGATCCTCCAGGATGAATTCCTCTGGAAGGGGTATGCAATTATTTGGTGAAATAATTCTGGGAAATCTATTAGGTATCGAAGATACTTACTCTTCTGCTCTGGGGATGCACCCGCCAGTAATTGGTAAAATATGTGAAACGTTCGTTCGTCTTTAGCCTGACGAATAGCTCTCGATTTCTCGAGGAGATAAGTCTCAATATTAGCCCCTGCGATGTACCCAGATGCATCGAAGTTAATTCTAATGAATTTACCGAAACGCGAGGAATTGTCGTTCTTCACTGTCTTGGCGTTGCCAAAGGCCTCCAGAATTGGATTCGCCTGGAGAAGCTGTTGTTCTAATTCACCCTGTGTCGAAGATGGTGAAAATCAATATACTTCTTCATTCGTTAATTGGGCCTGAACGGTAGAATGATTATTTTGTTTTTTTTTTCTTCATTACTCATGTGAAAGTCTCATTCAAATCATGAACTGACCGAATTTTCTCTTGATCGTGAGTTGTGAATATTTTTTTTCATGCCTCAAGTAGCCATTTTACCCACTACTTGTTTATCGTGGTAGAGACTGATCGTTCAATATTCGGAGAATTGTGATTACAGTGCGATATAAATTATCGCAAGCCTCCCACTGATTGATCGGTATCGAATTATCGCTTGATGCATTAATATTCCGGGAATTAAGGATATTGAACGATCGACTCAGCATTCAAGGGCAACAATTTGATACGGTAACTTCGAAAATGAAAAATGCATGCCATAAAATAATTTGTTCACTCGTTTTCAGAATTAACAAGAAGAACCATAAGGAAAAAGGTGCACAGGAGACTGTAGAATGATTCCCACTCCCCAAAATGAAATCCCTCCACTCGTACGGCACCCAAAAGAAAAAAAAACACCACCCGTACTAATGAATATTAATTAAAGTGTTGAGATGCAGATGAGTGCTCGTGTTAATTAAACTCTCACACCTATAATTTTCGAATAATTACCGCGAATTTCTCCGTTGTGCCGCTGGTTCCCTGGTTCCACAAGGCAGCAGGTTAATAAAAAAAAAATGGTTAAAGCACGTTTTTAATTCAGCATTACAACGATAATTGATCAATTAGTTTCTCGTTAATGATGGTGTATGTGTTATGGGAATGGAGAAATAAATGAGAATTATGTGGTGACGTGATGTCCATTTATCCCAGGGCAATTCACATGTGAGTAACACAAGAAAAGAGGCAGCACTATTCGGTAAATTATGTGTTATTTTTCATGTACACGAGTGATTTTTTTTTTCAACTTACTATGATTAACGCTGGAGTTGGGGTCTTGTTGATATCCATGGAAAAATCAGCACCGAAAATAAAATTACATAATCATCAGATTTACTCGTAATGGCTGTTGCATAAATTACAGAGATTGTAGATTTGATGAGGAGTGAAACGTGTAAAATTGATTTAATTAATAGTTGATCAACGATTTGCACGATCTTTGTGCAAGAATTCATTATTGATTCTACTATTAAAATTAATCATGAGAGATGTTTATTAAAATCCATAAATTTCTGTGAACCTGATGAAGATAAACAAATTCGTATAATAATTTTTTTTCTAGATTTCAATTCGCTCTAAAAAAAAAAGGAAATAATAAAAATTTTGATATGGGCGTTGAATTCCGAGATATTCATGTTTTTATTTCATTACTGGTTTGCACTCAAACAACTGCATGATAACTGGAATGAAAATGTGATAAATATCTCGATAATTTCCATAGAAATTAATGAGGATTTTTTCAGTAACAGGAGCGGGAAATTGATGCTGAAATCGATAAATCCCCAATGGAATAATCCAATTAATTATGGAGGAAAATGATTCCATAAGGACAGGAAACTGCCTGAATGTATGAGTCAGGCTAAATTGGATAGCCCTCGAACAACGAGTGTTAATTAATATCCTCTAGGAAGAACGAGGAACGATCACCTACCGATGTATCGAGTAATGAGACACGAATGGGTATCGAAGATTCTTGACCTGGATCAATCAGTGCTCTGTACTGAGAGCAATTGGATGACGCGATCTTTGAACGATTGTGAAATATTTTCTACGATGGAATTAATCACGGGCATCAACAAAAACCGGTATTCGAGGGAGAGAGAAGTCAGAGGAGCGAGGGAAAGAAGATGTTTATCTTTGAATTGAATTGAGGGAAAAATAAACTGGCAGTCACTGAATAGCGCCTTGGCTCGGTTACACTTCCATTTCTTTCATTCATTCTGCCATTGCATATTTTGGAAAATGTCGAGACTTTTTTATTTAATTTCCAATGCATAATTAATTAATTGAAATAATTAATTTGAATTTTCTTTAAATCCACTTTCACCACTGAACTTTTGATTACAGATTTCCAAATTGATTTGGAAAATCGAGGTAAATATATGGGTTTGAAGAGATTGAGGTATCAATCTAAAAAAGAAAGAGTTTATGAGTCATTCCTCGGAAATTCCATCGGCGGGAAGTGAAAAATGCGGCAAGACTTCCGTCTTGCGGTTGAATGGGCTTTTTTAAACATCGTGGAATTCACGGAATTTATTACTCTAATTGTGTTAAAAAAAATAATAGAGGTGTCGAATTCAGCTGAGTTGAATTCCTTGGGTGAATCAACTGTCGGTTTGGGCTGAGGCAAGCGAGTTCATTGGTGTGTGAAATGATTCACTGGATTGAATTTAAAAAATATATATCTATCTAAGTCCTGAAAATACTATTCTTTAAAATCACTCACAGCATTCGATTTGGGTTTTGATGCAGCCACGTACGCCAGATACTGAATAACTTTCTTTGTATTCTCCGTTTTTCCAGCTCCAGATTCACCAGTACACAGAATTGATTGGTCCTCACGATCTGAAACCAGTGGAAATTCTCGTTAAGGATTAAATCTATTTTCCATTAAGTTAGGGAATTGAGTGGAAAAAAATTTTTGATTAAATTGGAGCCAATATGAACGAGCGAATTGAAATAAAAACTAAAGAAGAATTATCAATGTGGAAAATTATTGAACTTTATCTCCAAACGTATCGGAATATCAATGTTTATCCATGGAATGAAGAAACATAGAAATTCCTTCTGGGATTTGAAATTCCCGATGTACGAGAAGTAATGGAAAAAATGGAACAAGGAAGAGTACAGGGGATACAGGAAAAATGTATAACGCGCAGTTACAATTTTACGAGTGAGAGAAAAATTCTCAGCATTCCACTGCTCCAACTGATTAATAAATTTTATTGTATGCAAAAGACTCTGAGCCCAGGGAATTTTTCAAAGTTCGCACCTCGCATAGGGTGAGCTTTGAGAATTTATTACACTAAATTGCAGGCCATTACAGTCACCAGAAAATCATCAATTGAATTTCATTCAATCAAGACGCATCATCTGTTTTTTATTCACGAGAACTCGAATTTTTGGAATAGCAAATTCCAGCTGGAGTTGGAGAACAGATAATTAATTTAATTTGTCCAATCAATTGAATCACAAGCGCGTGAAATTTTTCTCATGAGAAAGGGGATAACTTTATCTTTCAGTGAATTTCCTTCTTAATAGTCGCAATTTCGGTAATTTATGAGGGACCAGTAATGATTTTTATTACCTTGTAGCATGGAACGATAAGCTGTGTCAGTGATGGCGAAAACATGCGGTGGTACCTCGTGCCTCTTGATCCCCTTATACCTCTCCATGATTTTTTCTGTGTAAATTGGCAGTCTCTTGTAAGGATTGACAACGACGCAGAACAGGCCGGAGTACGTCTGCAAGGAACATTATTAAAATGCGTTATCAAGATGGGAAAAAAAAATTTCATCTCCAGATCAATCATTCGTTAAATGTCCCCTCAATATCCCATCCAATAAATAAAAACATTTATTTCTCTCTCCGATTCCCTAATCCAAAAACGCCCAAATGGTGAAAATCCCCCACTATCATTAAACGGGTAATTATTATTCAGAAAAATGTTATCACGATTGCACATCCCGCGGCGCCAGTAATAACAATTGGAGGGTTTAAAAAAAAAATATCCAAAATATCCGAGCAAAACGAACACCGGCGTAAAACATCGTAAAGCATCGTAAAGCATCGTAAAGCATCGTAAAGCACCGCCACCCTTAAGAAACGACATGCAGAAATTTCTCCCAACGACTATTCCTTGGCCTCCTCTCCCTATATATTTTAGTCACTCAAAAAGATGAAGTAAACCACATTTTTTTCCCCTACACCAACTCTTTTTTTTTCCATCATCATCACAAAACAGATTCGAACATGACACGAATTACAAAGTGACTCATCTTCCCTGAAGGACAGATTAAGATGTCCACACACGGCGAAAACAAACTTCTCCATCCGAATAAGCAATTTCTCTGTAAAAAATCATATGAATGGAGGTAAAAGAGTGTCTTTGAAAATTTTTTGCAGAGGAGAATAGAAATAATCACAAAGGAAAAGAGTTTCCACAGAAAAATCTCCAAAAGACGAGAACGAGAACGAGAACGAGAACGAGAACGAGAGAACTTCTGTTGCATTCATATTCCATTCCAGACATTGTTTCACGCTTGGGGGGAATTTTTTATCATTTTTTTACACGTTTTTCACTCATTCATTTTTTTGCCATTAATCTCCGAAATTTTTCTTCCCAAAAAAGTCACTCCTGCGACGAGAGAAAATTTATTTTCAACAATAATTGAGCTTGCGCTTACAATTCTTGGCTCCAACTAATTTCTTACACTGCTGTGATGTTCCTTCGCGAAATTATTAGCCCGAAAAATGTTGCAAGCTGCAATATTATGATATCATTATATTATTTTTAAATTATGGATTGTTTGATTGGGTTATGTATGTTTTGCTGAAATATTTTTAGCTGTAATATTTGGAAGCAATAATTTTTTGACTTGTGTTATTTCGATAGATAACCGACAAAATTGGAGAATAAACAATGTAAATTTGCGATTAAAAATTCCAAGTGTTTTTCCATTTGATTCAGAGAGGTGTTTCCCAACAGAATGTTGAGATGTTTTCTCTCGATTTCGTGGGTGCAAACAATTGGATTCACTGGTGAGAAGTTTACGGTCGTACACATGTTGTAATGTATGCACTTGTGGCTGTACGTATGGAATTGTCGAGATGTCGTCAATCTTATAAAGAATACTGAGTGGGGCAGAGTGGATTGCTGTTGAGTGGTCCCCTTCAATTTTTCCAATCAATTTTTCTCGTGAGATCGGGGCCATATCGACGCGGGTTTTCCGGTACTCGAGCCAGAGTAATTAGCATAATAAGCACTGGTGACAGTACGGGTTGTACTCTGGGAAGGTGAGCACCTTGAGGTAGAGGTTGGGTTGAGATGGGTTATTTCGAATACAGACAATTTCCTGGATGACTTGCCAGAGGATGACCCGAAGATCTCGGTACATCCGAATTTTTGTCGATCCTGGATAATAGAAGGCCATATGATTCATGTGTAAACACCTCCGCGGATGCGTCGTCACTCGCTTCCTCACTTCCCAACACCGTGATTCATCGACTTACTTTCCCCCAAGTGCCAGCAAGCAAGTATATAAAAAAACGTTGGGAATATTTCAAGGGAAATTTTGTTACTCAATCTTCTCCGTTTCATTGATTTTTATCGCATTCACCGATTTGAAAAATGGGAAAGCCCAATAATTTTCCCAATTCCACTGATTCATGCCAGAAAAAATTAAAAGTGGAATTCTAGGACTCAGCCACTCAATTTCCTTTATTTTCATTGCATTCTTCAATTTAGACAACCGATAGTTTTCCAATTTCATTGATACAAACTCGGATGTAATGACAATTGCGTGGTTTTCGCGGAATTCACGCGATTTGCAATTTATAATTAGACAAAAATTATGATAATTAGACAAATTTTTCTTTTCTTCATTGAGACTCGTATTAATTTGTATGCACTTTGATAAATCAATGAGGATAGATTGATAAGTTGTCAGACTTCTAAATGAATTGAAATTGCAATGAAAATTGCCATTACAATTCGGACAGAATTTTGACGAATTGTTTATTTTATTGGATTCAACCGGCGAATCATAAAAATTACGCTGAGGAATAATTTTTCTCGTGAAGACGAATGATTTTTATTCAATTCACAATTGATCCCTCGGTATTTTGGCAAATTCCCGGGTTTCGTCGGCGGCTCCGGTAAGGTTCGACATTTGTTTTGAACTTTTTTACCCCTAGTGGATACGTGTCCGAAGGTCCCCAAAACCGGTCCCTCGGGGTCTTCGTGTCGTCGACCCATTCGACATTCCTGTTTGGCTTACGTATATATCTGGGCCCAAAAGAAATCCTTGTACGTGAAAGTCTCATACCCAATTCACCATTATCAAACTTCATATCAATTGCCCTAAAAATTCAGAAGTCAAACTGGTAGGCCTTGATCCTTTTAAAAATTCATTCAATAAAAAAAAAATAATAGCAATAAAATTTCCAATATTTCGAATGGACCGACTGCAATTTATATTTGAATTAATCCCCAATAAATCAGTGAACTGAGATAAATTTAATTTCCCATTTTTTAAAATGACTGATTGATAAAAATGGGGGATTTTTTTTTTATTTACAATAACAATTAGAAAGTTTTGAAAAAGTTCTCCAGAAGAGATGAACTCGAAATTTCGCTGTGAAGTTGTCGAGTTATCGACGAGCAAAAAAAAATCCGGTTTGTGCACTCTCCCCTCATTGAATAACGGAATTTATTTTAATGAGCAATTAAATTTATCCCGGGTGCTGAGGTAATAGCATGGTGTAATATAATAAATACTGGTGAGGTACAATTTTAATTCGCGAAATAAAGATAAATCAGATATCGATAGCCCTCGCCAAAGGAAGAAGAGTTGCGATGTATTTCGCAAGTCACTCGTTTTTCCTCTCGACTTCATCCATTGGCTGTTACGAATATGGGGATATGGGTTAACCATAAATGGAATCATGGGCCCATGGGGCTTCCATGGAGAGGATGCCCTCTCTACATTGTACTAGCCTCGGTTTTACAAGTTGAGGTATTTCCAAAGCGGGTTAAGGACACTCCGACCTTATAAGGACTCTCTTTGCCTCAACATGTGGGCTACCTTATTTTAATTGGGATGGATTCATTCATTTTTTTTTTCTGTCTATTTGGAGTTTTCCAGAAAATTGCACTGAATTTGAAGAGAAAAATCCATGAAAGATCATTTTTATAGTTATTGGGTACCAATAATTCGTTTCCTCCCTGCGATGTGGTCTTAACTTCCAAATAAAATTTTCAGCTCGTGGAATATCGGTGACATCACCAAAAGATAAACGGCATTATCACTTTCAACAGGGACTTAACATCGCAATAGTCCACACTGAATTACCTAGTACTGCGTCTCTCCTTAGAATATTTACCTTCCCACTAAAAAATCGTGCCCAACACATGAAAAACCCAACCCGAGGAATGTCTGTACATATCTACAGCAAATATTATCTAACCCAAAAGACTACTCCAAAGTTGGATTTAAAAAATTTTCAAAAAATCACCCATTCCCCACATTTTACCTATAATTCTTTCTGAAATAAATTCGATATTTCAAATGTAGAGTTGATTTGCGATGAATACAATATGCAATAGTTAAGTTTAAATTTGACTAATGGGTTTGAGCTATAAATATTTCGCTGCGGCCGCCGTGTCGCCATAAAAAGTGTAAACACCAGGATATTTTTATTTAAGGAAAAATAGTTTTTCTAATCGAATTGGTATGACATCAGCCCGGAGAGTGCCGGACAAGGCTTGCCAGTTGACACACATGGCTGATTCTCTCGTTTATGACTGGAGAACTTTTGCGGTAAATGGCCAGTCCTCAACGTCCATACGTTTTATCAACATGCACAGTCTCATGCACACCGTACCTCACATCCATACGTACTTTTTTTTTTTCATTATATTTTCAGATCTATTTCATGTGTGAGTGTCCGGAAACACTGACGTCACCTTCTCCTGAGCAGGAAAAAATCATGTGCCAGACTCTTAAAATAAATATATTTTGAATATTTTTTGTTTGTTGAATAATTAAAGAAATAATAGGTGCAATTACAAGCTATGTGAAGTTGGCATCGAAGTTTGAAAAATCTAACTTTTTTTTGTTGGTTTGGATTGTACTCATTGAGTACTTGAATCTACCCTGTGCACT